GACTTATTTTTGTCTTGTAAAGAGTGAAAAGTTAAGAAGTAATGAAAAATCGTGGCACATGGAAATGACGGGAAATATTCCTGGATGCATGTAATGTAAGTTTGGAAAAAAGGGGATCAAGATATTGGAGAGAAAAATTGGAGGTCAAGTAGAACTGTAGATGTGGAGCCAAGAGAGTAATGGCGAAAGTGCATGTTAGGAGCACGGAGAGTATGTGTGAGGGAAACAGGTACACTCAGTGTTTTGGCGGCACTGAGAACGACTGGTTTTATAATGCCCTCAGTAGGGATGATACTCGGATCTGAAGTGAATGAAAACCGAGCGTGAGGGATGGCGTTGGAGGAATCACATGACCCGTTGTAAGAAAGATTAAAATTCGGGGTTCCATCGTCCACAGAATCATGAATGGGGTAGAAAATGGAATATTAGGAGAATGAAGAGAATGGATATATCACAGAACCGGAGTTCATTGGGATCGCCCTCCAAACGACTCAATCACCATGAAACGCGACGGAACAATCACATGGAAAGTATTGCATTCAAGTGGTAAACCAATAGGTCTCCACTGGATCGATGATAGTGGAGGCCAAGTTGGCGGTCGTTGACAAGTTCGTGGTGTTCCCAGATGCATAGGAGCATCGCAGAACTGAGGGCAAAAATGTAGGCTAATACCTCAACCACATGGGGGAGGGGAATTGGTGACCAGATCACCATATTTCAGGGAAAGACGATGGAAAAAAATCTGGGGAACTGTTTTAGCAAGGGATCAGAACGAACAGCTGCCTGAAAGATAGTTGCTGAATTTGTTGGCCTTATGACGAACAAATCTGTTGTTTTTTTCTGGGTGGACGCCGAGCATTTGTTTGGAAGCTGCCCGCAGCAGTGGGGAGAATAGAAATCTGAGTTAACATCGATGTTCGAAAGCTGTACGGAAACAAGTGGTTGGCCTGGAAAATTGTGAAGTAAACCTGTGCATGCCTTGGAGTGTAGTCTCCACAACATTCACCGTTGAAGGGAACAGGTTGTGAGAAAAAGAACATGCGCTCCAGTAATAGGATGCTAGGAAGTCGAGGGAGCTACTCCATTCGATAAACTTGTAACGCCCAAAGTGGGTAGCGAAAATTAAGGTTTTCGACGATCGATGGAGTGTTACAACTGAATGTGATAAGACAATGGTCGGAAAAGCCCCCGAGGACAGGATAGAGATAAATTCAGGAAAAGAGAGGGGGCAAGTGTTATTACAAAGTTATTATTTTTTCGCACGCTTGTATGATCGAAGACACGCGTAGGGAAGACGGTCAATGGTGATAGGCCCTTCACAATGGCAAGAACATCCAAATCGCGGCCTATGGTTGTAGCTGTCGTGGAGTGTCCTAAACATTCGCTGTTGTAAAAGTTGAAATCACCAAGGCTGGTGACCAGAGCGTTGGAGTCTGACAGCAAAATATTTTCAATAAACAGCGAAAGAAGATCAAACGCAGAACAATTAGAACTGTTGAAAAAACCATAAAAAAAGCAAACGTGGTGGCTTCAAGACGGAATACCAAGTCTCAGCCACAAGAAATAAAACTAGCGATTGGAAACAGTAAAATAAGATAAGGGGGTAACTATGATACTCGATGATGCACAAGCGCACATAAACCAGTTTGGAGGATAACCGGTGAATAAAATGTAGCCTGTAAAAAGAGATGAATAAGAGGTTAATGCGACCCCGGAATGGAAGCAGATTCCAGGTTGTGATGCACAGAGTCAATGGTGCGATTCAGACCGTGAATGCTTATGACAACAGGTGGAGAGTGTGTGAAACGGTAGGCCACAGTGCGTAAATTTATGATGAGTTATTTTTGAGAAAAAATAAAACCTGGGACTTGAAGTCACATAAGGCCCAACAAAGTGAAAGGTGTGGTATTGCACCGGCGAAACTGACTAACGCCAGTGAACACTCTAGTTTAAGTATCCAAGAAAACTAGTGAATAATTGCTTTTGGCGGTTGGAACATTCTGAAAAGTTATCGACAAAACAGATGTACGAGCAAAACAGTCTCACCATCAAATGATGCGAACCGATCGCCTTCGCTAGCCTCTCAGCCCGAGAACGAGTTTCTTCTGAGCTGTTCTCAGAAGGCATGTAACAAGTGAAGAAAATAAGAGAGCACAAAGTTCTTGGGGTCAGATCGCGAACAGCGGATTCCGGACAGTCGAGGATTTGGCTCACTGCCTGGATCACATCTGAATTTGATGACTGAATTGCACGGTAGACCTGGGGAGGGATGAGAATAAGCGGTTGGATAATAGGAACGGAGTGGAGACAAGTCAAAGCACTCTGTAAAAACGGATTCTGCGTTTATTGTAAATATGCAAATGTGAAATTGATCACAATGATAAATGATGATTATCAAATTCATTTTTTCGTTCCTATTCATTCGAATTCATAGACATCACGGCTCATGTATTGATCCCACTTCGTGGAATAGTTC